AATTTTGATATTTGAAATTCTTGAGTTTTTTAGCATTTTTAACTTTTTTTCAATAAAAGGCTTAATTTATTTTGTTTCTGAGACTTTTAATACTAACTTTTTTGTTTTTTTTTGTCAATTTTAACAATGTTAACATCCTGTTTTTTCGACAGTTTTAAAGTATTTGATGTGTTTGAATCCTTTGATGTTTTTGTCAATTTTAAGAAGGTTGACGTATTGTTATTTTTGACAATTTTTAAATATTTGATGTGTTGAAATGTCTGACGTTTTCACGTATATTTGACGTAACACTTTTGGCGTTTGACACTTTTGTAACCTTGAACATTGACATTATCTCGATATTCTTTACGTTTATATATTATTTTTGACATTTTGATCTACTTGACGTTTTTTTTCTTCTTATTCTTGATAACTATGGCGTGTTTGATGTTTTAGACATATCTGACATTTTTTATTTTTTCCATAAATTATATTTCTGGCATTTTTAATGTCTTTAGAGTAGTTCACATCGTTCACATTTTTACCATTTTTGTCATTTTTATGGTTCTAGCATCTTTTGACGTACTCCGTGCTCTGGAAGTTTTTGACTATGAAACTTTTTTTGGAGAAATTTTGATATTTGATATTGTTGAGTTATTTAGCATTTTTAACTTTTTTTCAATAGAAGGCTTAATTTATTTTGTTTCTGAGATTTTTAATCCTAATTTTTTTGATTTTTTTTTGTCAATTTTAAGAGTGTTGACATCCTGTTTTTTCGACAGTTCTAAAGTATTTGGTGTGTTTGAATCCTTTGATTTTTTTGTCAATTTTAAGAAGGTTGACGTATTATTATTTTTGACAATTTTTAAATATTTGATGTGTTGAAATGTCTGACGTTTTCACGTATATTTGACGTAACACTTTTGGCGTTTGACACTTTTGTAACCTTAAACATTGACATTATCTCGATATTCTTTACGTTTATATATTATTTTTGACATTTTGATCTACTTGACGTTTTTTTCTTCTTATTCTTGATAACTATGACGTGTTTGATGTTTTAGACATATCTGACATTTTTTATTTTTTCCATAAATTATATTTCTGGCATTTTTAATGTCTTTAGAGTTGTTGACATCGTTCACATTTTTACCATTTTTGTCATTTTATGGTTCTAGCATGTTTTGACGTCCTCCTGCTTTGGAAGTTTTTGACTGTCAAACTTTTTTTGGAGAGATTTCGATATTTGACATTCGTGAGTTATTTAGCATTTTTAACTTTTTTTCGATGAAAGGCTTAATTTATTTTGTTTCCGAAATTTTTAGCCCTGACTTTTTTTATTTTTTTGTCAATTTTAAGAAAGTTGACATCCTGTTATTTTCGACAGTTTTGAAGTAAGTATTTGATGTGTTTGAATCCTTTGTTTTTTTTTGTCAATTTTAAGAAGGTTGACATCTTGTTATTTTTGACAATTTTCAAATATTTGATATCTTGAAATCACTTTTAGCGATTTCTTTTACGAATGTTTGACACTTTTGTAACCTTAGACATTGACATTTTCTCCATATTCTTTACGCTTATATATTATTTTTGACATTTTGATCTGCTTGACGTTTTTTTCTTCTTATTCTTGATAACTATGACGTGTTTGATGTTTTAGACATAAATTATATTTCTGGCATTTTTAATGTCTTTGGAGTAGTTGACATCGTTCACATTTTTGTCATTTTTATGGTTCTAGCATGTTTTGACGTACTCCGTGCTCTGGAAGTTTTTGACTGTCAAACTTTTTTTTGAAAAAATTTTGATATTTGACATTCTTGAGTTGTTTAGCATTTTTAACTTTTTTTTCAATAGAAGGCTTAAGATTTCAGTTAGATCAACACGGGTTAAGCCAGGTCAGGTCAGGTTAAGTCAGACAACTAATTTTCGAAATATTCGGATTCTAAGTCACTTTTGAAAACTACTTCAAAATTTGTCATTCCATTTTCGCCATTCTGGAAAAATGGTAGGAATTTGTGAAGAAATGTGTTTGTAAAAGATTTTAATGACCAAAAAATTTTTTTCGTAGTTTTCGACGGTGTTCGGAAAATGTCTAAAAATTTCGTCCAAATATGTAATGTGTAAAAAAAAGCTGAATCGAAAAATATAATTTGTTTGTCCGGTTCGATAAATCAGTTTTTACCCTAAAAAATGCCTTGTTACATCTAAGCGATTTTGAGTAATGGTAGGAATTTTTGAAAAAGTGAAGCCGAAAATAACTTCTGGAAGTCGGAATGTACAGAAAAATTCCTTCAGGTTATTTTTGATGGTGGTCGAAATGAGGTTGAAAAGGGGAGAATATTGAAAAATTAAAAACTTTCGGAAAAACTGTTTAAAATTCCTCAAAATTTCCGAGGATATAAACCTCGACGTACTGATTCGAGAAATATAATGTGTTTATGGTACCAGAAATGGGTTTGCCTTGTTTCGGTGATTTTGGAAACATTTCTAAGAATTTTTGAAGAAATGAAGCCAAAAAAATATCTGAAAATAGCATAAAAATTTCGAAGGTGGTCGAAAAAAGGTCGAAAATTTCACTGTGGAAAACTTGGGCTCTTGAAAACGTTGACCAAAAATCCACAAAAAATCTACGATATAAATTTCTACGGACTGATTCCAAAAATATAGCGTGTTTACCGTCCTGGCGCAAGATTTTTGAAATATTGGGATGGTCAATTCTTTGAAAAACTTGAAATGAAGCCCAAATTATTTCTGGCGATCATAATTACAGAAAAATGAAAAACTTCTTTCAGCAATTTTCATAAGTGGTGAAAAAAAGGGTCAAAAATTTCTAAGGGGAGATGTATGGAAAAATTGAACTTGTGGAAAAATTACTTCAAAATCCATAAAAAATTCTAGAACATAATCTCAACTTGCTGATTCGAGAAGTATAGTGTGTTTATGGTCTCAGCTGGATTTTCGAAATATTCGGTTTAATAGTCCTTTCTTTTAATCCTAAAAATTGCCATATTCATGGACAATCCTGAAAAAATGGTAAGAATTTTCGAAGAAATGAAACCCAAATTAAATCTGGAGATCGTGATCTACAGAAAAATAAAAAACCTTTCGGCGATTTTCAAAGGTGGTCAAAACACAATCGAAAATTTGTAAAAATTCCTAAAGGTTGAAAAATTTGAACTTTTGGAAAAAATTACATAAAAATCCACAAACAAAAAATTGTAAAATGTAAATCTCGACGTGCTGATTCGAGAAATATAGCGTGTTTATGGTTCCCAAGCTGGATTTTCGAAATATTTGGTTTCATAGTCCATTTTTCAATCCTAAAAATTGCCTTATTCGTATGGACGACTCTTGAAAAACGGTAAGAATTTTCGAAGAAATGAAACCCAAATTAAATCTGGAGATCGTAATCTACAGAAAAATAAAAAAGCTTTCGGCGATTTTCAAAGGTGGTAAAAAAAAATCGAAAATTTCTAAAAATTTCTAAAGAATTTGGTTTGAAAAATTGAAGTTTTGGAAAAAATTACTGAAAAATCCATAAAAAAAATCTAGAATATAGATTTCGACGTGCTCGAGAAATATAATGTGTTTATGCTCCCAAACCTGGATTTTCGAAATATTTAGTTCTATAGTCCATTTTTGTTAAATCCTAAAAATTTCGTATGAACGATTCTGGAAACATGGTATTTTTTTTTTAAGAAATGAAGCGGAAAATAAATTCTGGAAGTAGCAATCTGTGGAAAAATATAAGATAATTTTCGAAGGATGTCGAAAACAGGTCGAAAATTTAATTTAATTTTCGAAATATTCGGTTTGATGGTCAATTTTTTCAAAAATCCTCAAAACTACCATTTTTCATATTGACGACTCTGGAAAATGGTAAGAATTTTCAAAGAAATGAAGCCCAAATTAATTCTGGAGATCGTAGGAGTAATTACAGAAAAATGAAAATACTCTTTCGGCAATTTTCAAAGGTGATCAAAAAAGAGGTCGAAAATTCCTAAAAGGAGAAGTTTTGAAAAACTGAACTCTTGGAAAAATAACTTTAAAATCCACAAAAAAGTCTAGGATATAGATCTCGGCGTCCTGATTCGAGAAATACCAGAGCTGGGTTTTCGAAATATTAAATTTTTTAAAATCCCAAAAATTGTCTTGTTTCGGCAATTTTGGAAACATTTATAAGAAGTTTTGATGAAAAAATGAAGCAAAAAAAACCGAAAGTAGTAGAAACATTTCTTTAGGTAATCTTCGAAGGTGGTCGAAAAAAGGTCGAAAATTTCACTGTGGAAAACTTGAGCTTTTGAAAACGGCCAAAAATCCACAAAAAATCTGCGATCTCGACGTGCTCATTCCAAAAATATAACATGTTTATGGTCCCGGAGCAAAATTTTCGATTTGCTGAGATTTATTTCTTATTTCAGAAAAAAATAATGTGAAGACGGGTGGGTGGGCGGGGCTAAATTTAACTTTGTCCTACAGAGTCTTTGAAGCAAGCAATATGTGTAGTTTAAGTCGAAATATATATGTATTATCTAAGCTGTGTGTTATAAGAAATGATAGAAATAAAATATTAATGTGTAAAAAAAGTAATTTTTCTTGTTGCATTTTTTAACAAGTTTTTGCATATAATGCCAAATTTCTCTGCATATAATTCCGAGCCTTATTTATCACTCAAATCAATGAAACTATGAAACCCGACAAAACTTGTTTAATATTTCAAGTGTCATTGTCACTCAAAAATTTGCTAGTTTTAAGCTGGAGAATCCTGCTGTGAAGTAACCTCCTGTGAATTTCATGCTCGTCGATGTTCCAAACAAACTGATCAAACATCGCCACTCCTACCTCAAAAATTTTGTTGAACATATCTGCAACAAGAGAAGTAGAAAAATAACGACGGGGCGTCAATTACCTCGCAGGAACAAATAACAAAGCAGAAGAAACAAAAATACCACGTAACTAAACAAAAAAGTGAGCCATTGTCTCAAGAACAGAAAGTCGTCGAAGGTCATTCTGAAGCTTTAATTACCGAAATTTTCTCACTAAGCTACGATTATTTGACGCGATTTGACGGATGTGTGACGTGACGCCGAAGCTCTACGTTTCTTAATTCCTGGTGAGTAGAAGCAGCAGGATCACACTTTCGGTTAAAAAACGTCACGTAATAGCACACATTTTTCTTTTTGTTTGTGTTTAATTCCGGCGCATTTCACCCGGAACGAAGAAATTAAGCCGGAAAGTGGAGACCAGCACCATCTGGTCGTTGCAGGAGAAACCTCGCGCTAGTTTCGCAGGATCCTGCAGCGGCGCCTGCTCGGTGGCGCCCCCGCCAAACTAATTTTTTGAGGTTAATCGCTTTTTGGTTAGAAATTATTTATAATCCGGGCTTTGCCAGGATTAGTTTTGTCGGTCTCCGCCGCGATGATACTCAAGATTTTGAATTTTTAATGGGTCTCATTTATTTATGTAATCCATAAACATGAAGTTTGCAGGGACGAATTAAAGTAATTTGAATAGTTTAAGTAAGTAATTCACAAGTTTACCACTGCACTAACTTGGGTAATTACGGTCTTTGCGGTTGGTGTGTGTGTTCTAACAATTTAATTTGCGAGTTAGGGACTAACTCCTACATGCATATTCATAGTGATTTTTTGTCCCGGGGATAATTAATAATTCCTGGTTTAAGTGTGGGGTAATAAATAGTTGTAGAGGTTTGGGAGCACTTAACTAACCACCCCCGTCCTACCCTTCCAGATTCCTGCTACCTCCTCGACATGACTTCTTCTCCTACTAATCGCATGCGTTTGTCGCTGCCTCCGCAGCAAATGGGGTCAGATGAGTCCTTCGACAATACGTTCGCTGACGAAGAGGATGATCCTCATATTAATAGACTATGGGAGATACATAGGAGGATACATTCGCTTAGGGGTAGCGTTTTTAATTTTTATTTAGTAGAGGCACTAGAAACAGTTGGCAGCACTGACATACATTTTTTACAGTTGCATTGCTTATCACGAAACGTTTTTACATGCAATAACTTACTTATCATTGCAATATTGATGACATTCATTTTTTAATTACCCAATTACTCATTCTAAGCTTTTGTTTGACTCATACTTTATCGCAGTAAATAACGATACTAAATAATCCTACTAATTATCCCGATACGTATTATACAATGTTTTGTTTGTCGAACAATTAAATTGTTTGTTTTATTAGAAACCATTGGAAAGTGAAATTTATGAATAATATAACACAGTCTGCGTTGTATCCCGAAAGATCCAGAAGTAAGAATCGTACAAGCGTTTATTTAATATCGCACCCAATATTCGACTTTAATTTACTAATGGTACTATATCATATAAAGGGATTTTAAAGGTCTTATAGTGACAATAGGTCGAAAAACTGGTGAGTTTTAGAACCATGACTTCTTTTAGAATTCCGGACTTGGCGGTGTGAAATTAGTCTAGAAATCCGGGGCCGAATATTTTAACAATATTTCTGAAAAATTATTGTTATTCTCATCTTAGAAGGTGTTTATTCGCTGTCCCCATAGTTAAACAGTGCCCTTCAACACACCACACAGAGGCCGACTCGAATCTTGCCCCGGAAGTGTACACAAAACTGTTGTCGTTTAATATGTAGGCTGGTTCAATCGATTAAAAACTGGCGTCAAATTGTAAAAAATCTTCCTCCAGTAACAAATTTGAACTCGCTGTCACGATATCTGCTCCAATAAGCAGGAAAAATTATTTTAAAATTTTCAAAAATTTTCCAAAAAAATGGTTAAAATTAGTTCAATCGATTGAAAATTGCCATATGGCAAATTGCAGACAACTTTCCACCAATAACAAATCTAAACTCGCCGTGACGATATCTGCTCCAATAAACAGGAAAAGTGATTTTAAAATTTTCAAAAATTTTCCAAAAAAATTATTAAAATTAGTTCAATCGACTGAAAATTGGTGGCAAATTGTGGACAATTCTCCACCAATTACAAATCTGAAATCGCCGTCACGATTTCTGTTCCGATAAACACGAAAAGTGTAATCAAAATTTTCAAAAATTTTCCAAAAAATTGTTAAACTTAGTTCAATCGACTAAAAATTGGTGTTAAATTGTAGAAAATCTTCCACCAGTAACAAATCTAAACTCACCGTCACGATATCTGCTCCAATAAACAGGAAAAATGATTTTAAAATTTTCAAAAAGTTTCCAAAAAAATGGTTAAAATTAGTTCAATCGACTGAAAATTGGTGTCAAATTGTAGACAATTTTCCACCAATAACAAATCTAAACTCGCCGTTACGATATCTGCTCCGATAAACAGGAAAAGTGATTTTATAATTTTCAAAAATTTTCCAAAAAATTATTAAAATTAGTTCAGTCGACTGAACACTGGTGGCAAATTGTGGACAATTTTCCACCAATAACAAATCTGAAATCGCCGTCACGATTTCTGTTCCAATAAACACGAAACGTGTAATCAAAATTTTCAAAAATTTTCTAAAAAAAATTGTTAAAATTAGTTCAATCGACGGAAAATTAGTGTCAAATTGTGGATAATCATCCGCTGGTTACAAATCTGACATCGCTGTCACGAGATCTGTTCCAATTAACACGAAAAGTGAAACCAAAATATTCAAAAATTTTCCAAAAAAATGCTTAAAATTAGTTCGATCGACCGAAAATTGGTGTCAGATTGTACATAATTTTCCGCTAGTTACAAATCTGACGTCACCATCACGATATCTCTTTCAATAAACACGAATAGTGAATTCAAAAAATTTAAAAAAATTTCCAAAAAATGTTTAAAACTGGTTCAATCGACCGAAAATTGGTGTCAAATTGTAGATAATCTACCGCTAGTTACAAATCTGTAACTAAGTGTAATATTAATAGTAACAGTACTGTATCTTCAAATCTTCAGGAAAATAGGGTGGGCAATGAAACATGTCGCCCTGTTCATCAAATTTTTTGGATCTCCTTGTGTAATCAGTTCAAAAAAATATAGACTTTTGAAATTCCTCAAATCCCTATCGGGCTTTAGAGTTTTGGCGTCCTTTAGATCCTTGAAATCTTTGAAAGTCAGAGAAGACTTTTAACTTTCACAGTATTTGGAATATTTTCACAAATTCAAAAAAACGTTTAGAATATCTAGAATTGTGTAAATTTCGGAAATTTCTAGAAATTCCCGGTTATAGAAATCAGTCTGCGGATATGTCAAAATTCAGCATTTCCTCAGTTTTCAAAATTTCTAGGTCTTCCAGATTTTTTACACTTTCTAGGTATTCCCACATCTTTGGAATTTTTGGAATCTGTGGAATCTTAGAATCTCTGAGATTTATAAAACATTATTTAGGGTGTTCATGAACTCTAGTGCTTAATTTATCAAAATTAATGGAACCATTTTTCAGATTGTTTTGGATTGTTTTTATTGCTTGGAATCTTTAGAATCTTTAAAATCTCTTGCGTTTTAAGTGTTCGTACGATTTTTACAAGTTTTAAAATCTTTTGAATCTTTGAGTCCTTAGAGTCTTTAAGTTTCGTAAAGATTAATACCTTGAAGTGTTTCAAATCATAAAGCTTTATTTTATTTAGACTCTTCAGTGTCTTTACAAATGGTAGTTTCTAGTGTATGAAATCTTAAAGGTTTTTAGAGTCTCGAAAATTTAGATTATTTGAAAGCCTTGAAACTATTGGAAAATTTGTAATCTTTGGAATCTCTAACATCTTAAGAACCACTGGAATTTTATAATCTTTAGAAGTTTCAGATTTTCGTCATTTTTAGACACTTCAGTATATCTAGAATGTTAAAGATGTTTAGATCTTTAGGATTCTAGATCCTTTCCAATTTTTAAATATCTAGAATCTGTGGAATCTCTGGAATTGTTTAAATCCCTGAAATTTCCAGCTCTTTCAAATTTTTAAAATTCCTAAAATCCTTGTAGTCCTAAGACTTTTTGGCATCCTAGGAAGCCTTAAAACCTTTGCATGGGTTAGAGTATAATGGGATTTTCACAATATTTGAAATCTTTCCAGAAATTCCCGCAGAATTTTAGAAATTCTAGAATTACTGTTGTGCATATTTTAGTTTTATTCGCCAACATTTTGAGATGACGTCATTAACTTTTCGGGAGGGGATAAAGGAATAAATTTTGAATAACCATATGCCCACGATTACCATAATACGTTACATTAAATTGCAAAATGTTACCCAATTTTGGAATTTTTGGAATCTATGAAATCTTAGAATCTGAGACTTATAAAATATTATTTAGGAAAAATTAATGGAAACATGTTTCAGATTATTGTGGTTTGTTTTTATTGCTTATAGAATCTTTGGAATCTTTAAAATCTCTTGCATTTTAAGTGTTCCTACGATTTTTACAAGTTTTAAAATCTTTTGAATCTGAGTCCTTAGTCTCTTTAGAATCAAGAGTCCTTAGCCTGCCTTGAAAATTTTGGACACTTTAGAATTATTAGAAGTTGCGTAAAGATTAATACCTTGAAGTGTCTAAAATCATAAAGCTTTATTTTATTTAGAATCTACAGTGTCTTTACAAATGGCAGCTTCTAGTGTATGAAATCTTAAAGGTCCTTAGAAAGTCTCGAAATTTTAGAATATTTGAAAGCTTTGCAACCATTGGAAAATTTATCTATTGGAATCTTTAAAATCTTAAGAACCACTGGAATTTTATAATCTTTAGAAGTTTCAGATTTTCGTCATTTCTAGACACTTCAGTATCTCTAGACTGTTAAAGATTTTTAGATCTTTAGGATTTTAGCTCCTTTCCAATTTTAAAATATCCACAATCTGTGGAATCTCTGGAATTGTTTAAATCCCTGAAATTTCCAGCTCTTTCAAAATTTTGAAATTCATAAAATTCTTTTAGTCCTTACACTTTGTGGCATCCTTGGAAGCCTTAAAACCTTTGCATGGGTTAGAATATTTGGGATTTTCACAATATTTGAAATCTATCCAGAAATTCCCGCAGAATTTTAAAATTTCTATAAATTCCAGAATTAATATTGTGCATATTTTACTTAGTTTTATTCGCTAAAATTTTTTGATGACGTCATTAACTTTTTGGGGAGGGGAATTTGGAATTTTTGGAAGTTCTGGAATCTTAGAATCTCTGAGATTTATAAAATTTTATTTAGGGTGTTCATAAACTCTAGTGTTTAAGTTTAATTTATCAAAATTAATGGAAATATTTTTCACATTGTTTTGCATTGTTTTTATTGCTTAGAATCTTTAGAATCTTTAAAATCTCTTGCGTTTTAAGTGTTCGTACGATTTTTACAAGTTTTAAAATCTTTTGAATCTTTGAGTCCTTAGAGTCTTTAAGTTTCGTAAAGATTAATACCTTGAAGTGTTTCAAATCATAAAGCTTTATTTTATTTAGAATCTTCAGCATCTTTACAAATGGCAGCTTCTAGTGTATGAAATCTCAAAGGTCTTTAGAAAGTCTCGAAATTTTAGAATATTTGAAAGCTTCGAAACCATTGGAAAATTTGGAATCTTTGGAATCTCTAAAATCTTAAGAACCACTGGAATTTTATAATCTTTATATATCTATTTGATATATAATATTTGAAATCTATCCAGAAATTCCCGCAGAATTTTAGAACTTCTATAATTTCCAGAATTAATATTGTGAATATTTTAGTTTTATTCGCTAAAATTTTGAGATGACGTCATTAGCTTTTTCGGGAGGGGATAAAAGAATAAATTTTGAATAACGAAATGTCCACGATTACCATAATACATTACATTAAATTGCAAAATGTTGTTACCCAATTTTGAGGTTTTTTTTCAAAAATCTGCATGTCTAGGGTAATAATAATATAATGACCTGACCGGACCTGGTATAACCTTACTTGATGTGACCCGGCCGTGACTTGACCTTACCTAGTGTAACTTG